CCAACTATTATAAGAAAATACACAATGTTTTTGCAAAATAAAAAAAGGGGCTAAAAAACATAAAACATTCCATATCTCCGCAACCGTTACTTTGCGGACCCATGGAGACTTTTCTGCTTATTTTGGTTCATACAATTACCTCCTTAAATATTTTACACTCTTATTTTAACACCCTGTATTTACAAATGGCGTGTATTTGCTCTACTACAAATATTTTCGATGTATAGCAAGCCGAATTATGTTTTAGTGTTCTTTTCAAATTATTACATAAACTACTAACATCATATTTTTTTCACTTAACTTCAGAGTACCTAAGGCTGTTTCTAGACTTAATACACTATTTCATACACCTTCTTCAAATTTTGCAAAATACCAAATCATAGAAATACAGAATACAGCTAATACTGATTCATGGTGAATGTCCCATGGATATAAAATTTGATGATATTTTAAGGTAATTTTCTTGAAAATGTAAGTAAATCGCGAATATCTGAGAAAATTGAAACTGTAACCCCTACAATTCCTAAATCGGTGAAAAGAGAATTTTATTTTCTATAATATGATGCAGAAAAATACAGGGTGTTTCATTTGAATTTAAAAAGTTTTGTTGGTTTTAAGTTTTCAAAATGTAACGTGAAAAATGAGATATTTAGTATAATTTTCTTCAGGTTTGATAGCGGAAAATAGTGCATTTTATGTTCTTTGTGTATTCCGAAAAGCAAGCGAAAGCTCCCAGAACGAAGAAATATATAAGAAATTTTCGAAACGCTTGCATCTGTAAATTTTTTTATAAAATGACGATTATCTCGGAAACGGTTAGATTTAAGTACAGGAAAGCTTCAACATTTTTGACTTGTTTTTATTTTATCTTGTCGATAATGCAATAATATATAGGGTGTTCCATTTAAAATAACGAAGTTAACAGCTACTTCCAGTATAACCGGAAGTGCTACGTTGATGGCATTATTTTAATTGAAGAGAACATATCTGATAACCCCCGTAAACAAAATATCAGAGTCATATTGTCCTTGGTTCCTCTGAAACGTTTAATAGGCAACTTACCGTGGATAACCATGTATATTTCTCCATTTTAAAAGCGTTCCGTCCTTTTCTTTCTGGGAAATATGAACGTTGCCAATAGAAATGTCTCAACTCGTTTAGCTGTCATCGCCGTTGACAAATAGTGGCAGTTGTGGAAAGGTATATGTTTAGTCGAAATTTATTGACTGGTCCAATAATTTAACTGTAAACATAAAAGATTTTTGATAGAGCCGCTGACTAAAATAGTGTTTATATACTATTTTTCAAATCAAGTAAAAATAACCACATATTTACCAGAATTTTCTGTTCCGAATATAAGCTACCAATACTTTATACGAAAATATAAATAAAAACATCAAAAGAACGAACGTAAATGGATTTTTCGGTTTCAGTACGTGCATCAAATTTTATTCCTTGATTTATAAAACGAAGTTAACGGTTCCAAGAACAATTTCTCTTATTTATTTTTATTTGCCATCGCCATTTACCTGATTTACAAACAGTTTTACGATTATACTAAAAATAGGATGTAAACATTGCTCCACTTAACTTTTTAGCCTTCTAACTAGTCGTTAGTACACCACGGATATTGATATTTTTACATGTACCGGGGAAAATCAACTCGTCGCGATAAAAATCGGAACGGAGTGCCAGAAGTCCGTAAAAAATTTTAGTGGTGTCGCAGCGCTTAATAAATCTCATATTTTGAAGTGTTTCGTAAACAAATGGAGTGTATAAAGTTTTATTACTGGCAGTGCAGTTAATCCGTTATTATGACTATCGTAGTAATACGCGGACAACTGATGGGTAATTAATATTCTCTGGCTGGTAGACGAATCAAAGCCCAAAGTCAAAAGTGCCACAAAATTGCAGCTGCGTAAGTAACCTTGTACGATTAAGGCTGTACGTTTATTTCTGTAACTGTTTAGTGAATAAGGAATGGTAATACGAAATGAATCTAATTAGATATAAGGAAATTTTCCTTTATACTTGCTGACAGGAACCACCAATAATCACACTTATACTTGACGTGAATACCAGCGGTAGATATTCTTTTAAAAATCGTGGCACCTACTTCTCACTTATTGGTTATTATTAAAAACAAGCAAGTTAATTGCTAATAAAATTTTACTTTGCGGAAATATTTTTAGTAATATAGCTACATGCAAATTTGATTTTCAAATATAACCAAGCATGTTTATGAAAATTCAGCCAACATCAGATTTCATTTTGTTTGAATCAAAAAAAAACTTCAGTTCACTCATAGAAACATAATTAGGTACAATAGAGAGATATTAGTTCCTGTTTTGTATTACGCCAAAAAATATTGAAACTGTAGCCGGTCATGGCATAGTTAAAAAAAGTTCCTCTTTCCAGAAGTTTATAATTTGTTATATTCATCACAGAAAGTAAAAAGTTTATATCCTACCGATTTTTTAATCTTTATGTTTTAAAAAATAAGTACACCACCGGATCTAAGCAAAAAAATGTATTTCAGAAAAAGGTCAAACTGTGGTCTTTACAGGTGTCACTAAAAATATCAAAATATTGATTTTTTAATTATAACCAGTGGCTGCTGGTGCGGAGATGAGGGCTCTGGAGTAGGGCCCCTTAGAAATTTTCATAGTAAAAAAATTTAATTTAAAATTTAGTTTGTAATGTTATCTGAATAATTAAATAGATTAACTTTATGAAACACATTAAAAACCAAATGTTAAATTTGTAATGTGCAGTCAATTCAACTCGACTTGCGAACAATTCGTTTGAAAAACTCGTGGACTCGGCATAGCTCGCTCCTACATCTGTAAAGTGTTTATAGCAGTGGTCATGGTTACCATCGCGAAGCAGTGAAAGACGGAATGGGAGTAGCGCATATATACTATGTAGTTCGGGCTCTGTTTAGTCCGACCATAACCAAAAAGCTTTCTATTTACGGCTTTTTTTTCTAATTAATCGTAATTGTAGATGTGTTGTAAAATTTTGGTACTTACGTATGAGTGTTTTTTAAAAGACTGTAAAAGTTTAATTTGATTGGAAAGACAGACTAACAGTACAAGGGCGTCGCCAAGGGAGGGGGGGGCAGGGGAGGGTAGCTGCTAGAAATTCGAAAAAAGTACAAACATTTTCTTAAACCAAGAAAATAGAAATTTTTATTAAAATACTTTATTTAGTTAAACTTTAATTTTGAAAATTAAAACACTAAAAAAACAGTAGTACTTAGTAAATTAGAATAAATTGTTATTTGTTTGAGTAAACTTTGCTCTTGAATTTTAAATAAAAAAATTATCTATCGGAATCAGAATAAAAGTTTAACAGTGCAATTAACTATACAGGATGTTTCTTAAGTAGAGATAAACATTAATTATTTTGTTATTATTTTAAGTAATGTAATGAGTATCATAAAAATGCACTTGATCAAATAAATCAATTTTATTATTAATCGGTTTGGAATACAAAAAAGTGTAAAGAAACAAAAAGTGAAGATAATACAATGGCGCATATGATGACCTATTTTATTTGTAATATTATACAGGGTGATACATTTTGTTTTTTGCAAATAATGATCGATGATACCCGCACCTCCGCTACTGGTAGGTTTCTAAAGCTAATAATTTTTTGTTTCATATCTACTGTCATACTAAATATGCACACCGAATTTGGTTAAATTATCTCAAGCGGTTTAGAAATTAAAAATTAAAAACCTACTTTTCTTTTTTACCTACTCTTTTAATTTTTGACACGCTGCGGCGTAGATGTCCTAAGACCCCACATTTATATAAATATTTTTGGCCACAGAATATGCCCCTGGATTTTTGACCTCTACTTAAGAAACACCCTCTATTTGTAACGCACCTATTTTGAAGATCTATGTATTTTGTAGGGGAAGTAAAACGTTCTTAATTTTGTAGGTTTGCCCATAGATTTAAGAAATTTATATATTTCTTATTTATATTTTTTTTTATTAAAATGGTTTTTTTAAAAGTATTTCTACAGAAACTTAAATCATTGTACCTATTTGTAACTACAATTTGTATTTCTTTTATTTTCACTTTTATCTCGCCCCACCCTGGCCCATTGGCTGGCGACACCCTTGAACAGTAATACTATCTATTGAAAAATCAATGGTGCGACATACCAAACTTTGATGGAAAAGTAATTGAAAACAAAAACAAACGCCGAAAAATGGACTTTCTCTATAAAAAATAATGTTGAACACATTTTCCCTATATTTCAATAGTACTTAAAATAAAACTGCCCTATTATATTTAATTTTTTTGTACCTAAATTTTTCCACTCTCGTTGGTACGGAAATCAACTTCACTGATTATAATTCCAAGACTATAAAAAAATATCGAAATTCGGAAAGAGACTCTGATATATTTCAAACATTCTTAAAAAAAACACCACAGAAATGAGACAACCCCCAAATCCAAAGCCAAAGGCTGTGCGGAAAGGGACTACACTTGAAAAAACGCGGACAAACACCCATTACATTATCCATCGACATTGCCAGTGCCGACGCCAGGGACCGAACCCGGACGAGAATAGGAAGTCTGGCCGAGAAATGTTTGCTACCGCATGCTCGAACGACTGCGCTACCGTGTTGATGAAATGAAATAACATTTTGTTTTAACCATTTCTTTCTTTTGTATAAAAATTGTTTCTTAATTTATATAGATTTATTTTGTTGTTTAGATTTGTACGTATTTAACTGTATTTGAGGTATAATCGTTTCACGGGTTGTTATACTTTGATCTATACCTATACCTGATCGCCACCAATTACAGACCTATGTTGTCATCTTTCACCTGCTAATGTTGTTCTCGGGCTAGGCTCTGTGGGAGCGAGCCCACTGTCAAAACTCCTGGGCTCGCTCTGACGTTCATTTCCACTCTTATTGTTGGATCTGAGACTGCTAAGGACATAATCGCTCCACAAACAATTGAGGTCTGCTGAAGTAGTCCGTAGTGGCCTCTAATTGGTCGCATCCAATGCTTCCAAACGTTTCGCCGTTCTTTACTATCGGTATCTTCAGTGGTCGCTCTGCATAAACATCGCCGCGACTGAGTCTCATTGGATGCGACCAGTTGCAGAAGCCACTACGGAGCGTCTCAGAGGACCACCATGGTCTGAGAAACAGTGGCGTCCTTAGCTTAGAACCAATAACAAGAATCAAACTGAACATCAGCGGCGAGCCTAGGGATTCTAATAGCGGGCCTGCCCCCACAGAACCTAGCCAGAGAACAACAAGGGCAAGTCAAAGTTTATTTCTTAAGGAAGTGTAATGTAAGTCTGTAATGTCGTACTTTAAAAATCAACGCAGCCGTGAAAACCTTAAAACCTCTATTTTATGCTAGGTTTAAAGATTTCAACACAGCACATTCAAGTCATCGATAAACTAAACTGAATCATTAATACTGATATCAGTAAAATTAATAAAAAATTGATTAAAATAAAATGTGGTAAGTTTTTCAAATTTAAACCGAATTTTTATGTTTCAAGAGTACACTTCCATAAATTAATAGCGACATAAATGTCATTTATAAGTAATGCAAATAAAAGTTGTCCAAAGTAAAATCCTTGCATTATAGATCAAAGTAAAAATTGCCAACTTTTCTGCTTAAAAAGGTAATATTTCCAAAGCCAACCGTTTTGAACCAAAAGGCATTTAAATTTGTGCTTCTTCGCTTCTGGCCCCCTCTGGAAGATACAATGAAATCGTCGATAAACTCGAATTTTTGATCCCATTAAACCCTCGGATAAGAAATTAGCTCGAAGTAGTAGAAAGATATTGAAGAAAATGTTATTTATTTTTTCAACTTTGACACCCTGTAGCTTCGTTATTATCAATTTTTAGACTAAGACAAGTTTAGTTAAATCGACTTATTGTGAGCTGTATTTCGAACATTAACTAATCATTTTGAAATAACCTTACTGTTTACTTATATCCACTTATTTGGGGTAACTTTTAAGTAGGTACACCAATCACATAGAATCGCGGATTTTTTTTGTACCGTGGGGATGCCTTACTTCTGCTTAATAGGATTACATCTGCAATGTAAATTCACTTTAGTAGTTTGTTAGACTTGACGGAGTGTTGTGTTATGAACTTTTGTATATGCTATAAATACATAATGGGAGTGTAAATAAATCACAATTTATACGTTGCGTAAGTAGACGTATGATCTGCATATGGATCTGACGAAAACTGCAAACATAAAAATGCATGTACATATATTTTAATTCATTTATATATTTTTTTTGGAAATAATAAAGCGTTCCTGTATTAATTACATAATATTAGTATGTTGCAAGATATATCCCAAATAACAACAATATCATTATATTACAAAAATTTTATTTTTAAGAGGTAACAATTAAGAAAATCGTTTGAGGATTTTTTAGGAGAAAATTGCAATGTACAATTGTACATAGCATCCTTCAAAAAATATGCACTTGTGTATTTAAAACATATAAAAATTAAAAAGTAAAAACAATATTAGGGAATTTTCGTCTTAATTATATTCTTCAATTATTCCTTTTTATGGCACTTTGATCCCTTTTAATTTTTATTTATCTCTTATGTACTTCAGTTTTCTTTATAATTCTGTAAATTATACTCGTATTGGCACATTATATTAATCTAGTAAATTAAATAAAATTAATAAAGATAGAAGAGGTATTACTTCCAAGAAAAACAAACATATATGTGTGATAAAGCTACTAAGAGATTCTATTACTTGTTTCCTTTGCTTTGCTTGTTATATTTCAATAATTGTTGAAAACAAAATAAAAAAATGTAANTATATGCATGGCTTTGTGACAATAATTTGAAAGTAAATATTGATAAATGTAAGTGGTTAGTATTAGGCAAAAAACATACATTGAATAAAATTTCGATAGAGGATTATATTAAATTAAATAACGAGAAACTAGAAAGAGTCCATCAGATAAAATATCTGGGTGTGATGTTGGATGAATGTATGTGTTTTAAACAACATACCGCATATATTGTTAAAAAAGTTGCCAAAAAAATTAATTTCTTAAGGCGTATATCTAAGGATTTATCATTTTTTGCCAGACTGACCATTTATAAAACGATAATTGCGCCACATTTTGAATATTGTTCAACGATTTTATTATTTTTAAATAACAATGAGATTCAGACTCTACAGAAAATGCAGAATAAAGCTATGAGGATTATTTTGCAGTGTAGTAGATATACTCCAATACAGGACATGTTAAATGCATTAAATTTTATAAACATAAAACAACGAATTTTGTTAAGAACGTTACAATTTATATATAAAATAAAAAATTTGCTCTTACCTAGCTATTTGCACAGTAGAATAACTTATGTAAGAGATGGACATGTTTATAACACTCGCCAAAAGGATGACTTTTATATAGAAAGACACAATTTATTAAGAACTAGTAAATCTTTATTTTACCAGGGTCTTATGCAATACAATAAGCTACCAGAATATATAAAAAATTGTAATGGGCCGGTTAATCATTTCAATAAGCTAATTGTTAGTTACATTAGGTCACTACCAGGGTAAACTTTTATATATTTCTATGTTAAGGATTTTTGTTGCTTGAGTTTATGTAATCGTTTGTATGTATAGCATTTGCTAAATAAATGTGTATCTATCTTTAAAATTATTGGAAAATACATGAAAATTAAAAAAAAATAAGGGATTAATCTTTAAACATTTCATTTTCAGATTTTATTCAGATAATTATTTTTTACCAACTATGTAATCGTGTTATCCAACAACAACAACAACAACAACAACAACCATAATAGGTGCAGCATATAGTCCATAGTAGCCCAAGGTACCTATTTGGTTTTGTGTTAAATAAATTGAACTTAAAATGGACTGTATACTTGTTGACAAATTGACAATGTTATAATTTGATAAGTATATCAGAAGCCTACTTTTTTTAGACGTTATTACAAACGCATAAATATGTATTAAACTAAGGAAAGTGATCCGTTCAGTACCAGCAGTTAGCAATCTTGTTTTCCATAGCTAGATTTCTAGTATTGAAGAATGTTGTTTGACTTCATTTGATAAGATTTGTTTAAATTAGCTTAATATCTTAAAACATGAGTAAAAACATGTGAGAGATAATAATAGAATATACCTATGTATCTTTGAAAAAAAAACAGTACTCTTTGTAAGAGGACATTTTGGTACAAAAGTTCATTTGACCAATTATGACACCCTGCAGCGCAAACACAGAAAAAATATTGTCATAAGAATTCGCTCAATTGTTAATAAAATCGTGTCAGAAACAAATTCGACATTTACATGGTGATTCTTTTTTAATTTGCGAAATTGTTACCAACATGTTGTAAGATTGTTGTAGATTTTCTCAAATTTTTAGGCAATATTGTATTAAAGTTTTGTACAATTTGTTCCTGTTACGGCTATAAAAGCAATTGCGTGAATATTTAAGATATTGTTTCCTGTATGAAAGCTTAACATTAATTTAAAATGAATCAAATACTTTTGCTTCAACTTTTCACGTTGAAGCATTTGCTTTTCCTTTCACTATTTACTTTAAGCAAATGATTCTGTTTTATTCGTAAGACACAATATTGCTCAACTCCAAATACTTTGACATACATCTGCTACAGTATATTTACGTTAATGTGATTTGTGTTACAGTGAAATGACAGTAATACGACCAATAGACACTGACTATGGTACTTTGAAAGGATGCCACGTTGATGAGATGCTGCAGAAACATTGGGGATCAACGCATACCGTGAAAATATTTCGAGAACCCAATAAAAGTCTGGGTATAAGCATCGTGGGAGGAAAGGTGTGTAATGTGTTGCAGATTTTTACGAAGTTGTTTAAAATCTGGTGATTAATCAATTGGAAGGTCGAAAACAGACGCAGTCTGGTTCGAATCCAAATAATTTACAGATTTTTACCGCAATTAGTTGCGATGAGTTAACAAATATCCGAGTTTTTTTCTAAATACGTATTTAATGGAAGCAGTACTAGTTCTTTTATGAAAAAAAAATGGGATTGATGTATAGATTTATTTTGAAAACTCAGTCGTTTCGGAGGCAAAGGGTGTTGAAGTAAAAAAATATTTTGAGCTAATTATAATCCAGTAAAGATGTCATTTTATAAAAAAGAATTCCAAACAGTATGATTTCAGGGTTGCTTGGGGACTGCCTCCTGAGTATTCAACAAAAAAATCACACTCGAACTTTCCTTATAATTTTTTTTTATATATTTAATCCTTAACGAGTTACTGCGCATTATGTGACAAAAATTTGCCACGCCCAGGGGTGGTCTTGTAAACATGTTTTTACAAAAAAATTACCTTAATAGAAGTCGTAGAGTATCAAATTCTGAACAACTTTTTCTTATAAAATTTTTTTGTATCTCTCATACCTAACGAGTTACTGTACATTATATGACAAAAAATTCGTTTACCACAGGTCTGGTCTTGCAAACATTTTTTTTAAATAACTTTAATGAAAGTTGAAGAGTAGTAAATGCTCTACAAATCTGTTTTATAAATTTTTTTATTATCTCGACTACTTAAGGAGGTATATCGGGTTTACTCAAATGCACAGATGTACTTGAAATTTATATAGCGTAGTACCCAGTGCTCCCTTTGTGCGTCATATTTTTTTGAAATTTTTTTTGAATTTAGATTTTGAGATATTGTTGTTGAAAGTTATTTATTTTAATCTATCAAAAAAATTAGTTATAGTTGCAAAACTTTTGTAACATTACTAAAATAGAGATTAAAAACACGAACAGTGAGTAATAATGTAATTTCTATCACAGAACCTTCAAAATTGCATCCAACATTTTCTTTGACTTGGACGAGAGATGGGCGCGAGTGTTATTTCATTTCTTTAGAACTAAATTAACATAATTGTTTTGCCAGTTCACATGATTTACGGATTTTAAATAAAGGATACAAATCTTCGCGAGGATAATGATATATTTGCTATATATAATAATTATATTGTACATAATTTACACACAATACATTTTTGAACGCGTACGATCTTTACCCGAATTTGACGCGCAATATCTCCGATGTCCGAGGTCTTTAGGTTCGCAGTGTGTACAACTGCTAGTCAATTATTAGCTCTGTCGCCACATCTACATAGTCTTTATGCGTTCATTAAATATAATTTAAAACTACTTAAATATGATATTTTTATGTTGTTAATTGGTCACTATTATGCTATGTGCATATCAGTAGATTTATTTGCCATGCATATGAGTAGATTTATTTGCTATACAGAGTCGGAAAGTCCCCATGGTTCATCGGCCGTTACGTGAGAGCGATAAACAAAGTCATAGAAATCCGTGCGATAGAGAAATATGGCTATAATGAAGGCGTCTAATAGTCACCGCCCATTTCGCCTTTCCACAAATAAGATCCACTTCTTATTTGTGGAAGATAATGCCCCCCTGTATAGATAATGTTTATCGCAAATAATTTTAAAAGAATTTAATTTTTTCAAATTGGCAGCGGGCTTTAGTCCCATAAGAAAAGCATAGGATTCCCCCTGCGCTCCTCACTTCCCTCGGACCCCGATATACCTCCTTAACAAGTTACAGCGCGTTTATTTAAACCTAATTCATGATCTGCATGAAAATCATCTTAGTTTTATTGTCCTCTTTTCCTGGAAGGCTCAGGTGAATTCATCTCTTCCTTAACGTCGTCCCGATCGATGTAACTACCATCCTGCGTGCGTGATGTACTGTTTGTGACAGGGTCGTCATCAATATCCCATCATTGCTGTCATTTCCAAATTCCGAATGAAAACTAAACATAAACTGATGCAGCCTATCAGTTAACACATGACAGCCTAACACCGCTTGCCCCACTTCCACTGTTGCCAACTCTTTATAAAAACAAGACCACCACTGCAGCGTGCACACTTTTTTTCACATAATGCGCAGAAACTCGTTAAGTATTAGAGATACAAAAAAAAATTACATGAAAAAGTTGTTCAAAATTTGATCCTTTATAACTTTTATGAAGGTCATTTTGCTCTAAAAGAATGTTTAGGAAACATCGTACCAATAGTTCGAGTGTGATCTTTTGGTTGGATACTCAGGAGGCAGTCCCCAAGCAACCCTGGAAAAATCATCCTCTTTGGAATTTTTTTTTGCGACCCCTATAAGCCGAGCACAACTTTATTCGATTATTGTACTCGTACGAGTATAACCAATTGAAGGTAATTCACTGAATTGACATGCAAATTTGTCAATCAGTGGCAAAAATACTGGAAAGCCACGGCAAAACTGAAAATGCATTTAATTCTCACTATTATTTAAAGGGAAAAAGGATCAAACAATTGAAAATTAATCAAATAAACCTTTGCGCGAAAAGAATTATTTAAGTATTTGCAGTCAACAAGTCCACAGATTAATTTGACACACATCTTTTACAATTTAATGAAATAATCGCGGTTTTTTTAACGAACTTTTCGTTCTCTAAAATTTTGGCCGAAACCCATTAAATTATATGACCGATTTCCCAAGTGTGATCGCAAATGTTTGGTTTCTCAAATTCACGTGTCTAATCTAATATATAGGTCGAGAGGTTTCTCGAACATAATGTTCATTGCATTGTAAACTTGGATTGGAGGCTACAAATATTAGAAGTATTTAATAATAGAATAAACGTTATATTGTACTTTTAGCTGTGCAAGTAGACAAAAGCAATCAAATCTAAACTGTTAAATCTTAACTGAAAATAAAACATTATTAAAAGTTTTGATAATGTAAAATATTTGATGTGCATTTTTTAATTGTCTACTTTTTTTAAATAAAATCGGAAGCTACACAATGAATGGTACTTACTGTTAGAGTAAAATAAATTTTCCTACAAATATTTTGTTCTTTTTACAACTCATTTTCAATGTTAGGTACTAGGTACTTTCCAGTTTAAACTGTTGCACTCAAAATAAGAATAGACTGTATCATGAAAAGTAATCTCGTAGATGGTTTTTTTATATAAACATTAATTGTATTAGGAAATACAGTCCTGCTAGTTATCTTTTTACATAAATATTAATTTTAGGTTGATCTGCATTCTTCAGAAAAGTCTTCCGACACCCTACTGGGAATATTCGTAAAAAATGTCGTGCCAAATAGTCCTGCGGGGAAAACAGGCCAATTTAAGGTAGACATTTATTTAGCTTGTACTGGGAATGTGTTTAACTTTAATTTTATAATATTTTTTCAGACTGGAGACAGGATATTGGAAGTCAGTGGAATTGACTTAAGACAAGCGAGTCATGAAACGGCCGTTCAAGCTATCAGAAATGCCTCTAACCCAGTTACTTTCGTTGTGCAATCGCTTATACCTTGGGTACGTACTACTAGTGGTTTCATACACAGCCACACAAAAAAAAGAAAAGTTGTCTGTACTTTCCATGCCACATATGTTATCTGTAGTATATTTGCCTCCTGATCACGAATCCGGCGTCAGAATTAAGCTATCACATCACAGGAATTTCCTAACCTCAAAAAACAGGTAAAAAATAGCAAAAATTCATGAAAAAGTGCTAGGAAAAATTCAAAAAATTTTTTTTCTATTGTTCTATTGTTGTTGTTATTCAAATGTTCATTTATATAGTCAAGACCCCGCCCAACGTGAATGCGCGGTCAGAATTAATGGTTCTTTTTCTAACCTCAAAAAAACCGGTCAATTGAGGTCAGATATCATGAATTTTCAAACAATAACAGATTTGCGCCAAATTTGGTATACGAGGTATATCGCTGTTCACGGATCAAGGTCAATTTTGCAAAATTTAAGATGGCGGATCCAAAATGGCCGAACAAATGTTCAAATAATAATATAATCGAAGCAAATTTGGTATACGGGGTTTTTCGGGGTTGCTAATTACGTACTCGAGGTCAGAGCTGCGAAATTCATTTTGTAATATTTTACTTTATAACCTGAGTACCCAATCATGTGTTAACCTACGTTTTTTCGGCTATAACTTGTTCTTTTTTCTGTGAAAGATCTATTCACGGGTTAAATTTTGTAAATCTGATCTCGGATTCGTGATCAGTGACCTCGAAAACCCCCGTATACCAAATCTGGCGCGCATGTGTTATTTTTTGAAAATTTGGTCGGCCGCCATCTTGAATTTTGCAAAATTGACCTCGAATTCGTTATGAGCGACCCAGAAAACCACCTTATACCAAATTTGATACGAATCTGTTATTTTTTGAAAATTTGGTCGGCCATCTTGTATCCGCCATCTTGAATTTTGCAAAATTGACCTCGGATCCGTGACAGCGACCCCGAAAATCCTTGTATACCAAATTTGGTGCAAATTTGGTATTTTTTGAAAATTCGTGATATTTGACTTTAATTGACCCGTTTTTTTGAGGTTAGAAAAATAACCATCAATTCTGACCGCCAAATTTATGTTCGACGGGGTCTTAAGTATATAAATGAACATTTGAATATAGAAAAAAAATTCAATTTTCCTAGCACTTTTTCCTGAATTTTTGCTATTTTGTTTTTTGAGGTTAGGAAATTCCTGTGATGTGATAGCTCAATTCTGACACCGGATTCGTGATCAGGAGGCAAAAATACTACGGATAACATATGTCGCATGAAAAGTACAGACTACTTTTTTTTGTGTGTGGCTATGAGTCAACGCGCTGGTCATAAGCACGTAGAAGATTAGACATTCAGGTCACCTCACGCTGTAGGTTCTCTCTTCTCTCACAATCAAGAGTTTTGGGTAGTATTCAGATCAGCAACATACAATCATTGTGCCCTATTTCTATTTTAATATTAACAAGTATTTATGCTTATGGTCCGCTCGAATATTGTCTCGAATTTATGCAACCAGTGGTCAAAGCTGTAGCTCAAGTCACGAGAGGCTCACGCACTGCTATTCGTCTCTCAGCTCACGCTACGAACACGCCCTTTGACCACGGTCTTTGCTTTGCCACAATGGAACCGTCGGTCGCACAGTGTGATATTTTAACAATCTAACTGTACTTTATTCCTGTTCGATATATGAAGGTTTCTATTATTATGTGTCGACATCTAGAACAACAAACTATTTAAGAACCAGTTATACCTTAGAAAAAAATATACAGAGCGATTAAAATGTATCGTACCAAAGGTGTTCGGTATAAAAATAATTTTATACATTTGCACTTTTTGTATAGAATCGTGTTTTTCTATTATAACGAGCGTTCAAATAAAAACGTGGTCGAAGTTGGCTCTGACACATTGGACGTAGGGCGTAGCTTATAGCGACCAACTTAACCTCATTTCTCAATGAGCTGTATAGCAGCTGTCAGTTTCAATAACAAAGCGGCGATGCAGCGCTTTGACAGATGACGTTTAAGTTCATTTGCTATACGCTACGCCCTACGTCCAAATTTTCAGAACCAACTTGACCACGTTTTTATTTGAACGCTCGTTATATTAGAATATAATTTAATATAATCTCAATTCATTAAACATTATTTTTATTGACTACATTAACTGATATATCTACATATACACAGGTAAAATGCACAGAAGGTCTTAATGGAACTGAACTGAACTGAACTGTTTTGTAGTAACAAATACACATATGTGGCAATTATAGCTTACAATTATAAAAGTAATTTATATTTACTGTTCATCTGATGACGATTGTAGATTGGTAATTGAAACATTGTACAAAGAACAAACAAGAAAGCAGTAGATTGGAGGTATAAAACAAAATTTAGTATGAAAGATATTGTAAAATATTGAAAGTGGAAACATTTGACAGACAGAGAGGTCTCTTAATATAAATAATATTAAAAAACAAATTATTATTTACTAGATTCGCATAAATCTTTAACAGATTCTTCTAAGTCACCATCAGATTATTCTGAATCTCCATCAGATGCTTCTAAATCTCTGAATTATTCTGACAGCAACTAAATCACGTTTCGAGTAATACTTCCTGACTTTCTTCTTAGGCTACACTTTAAATCTGAAAATATTAACAGTCTGTTAATCAGATCTCTTATCCACGCCTGAGGTTTTTCTTCTGTTCTGTTCTCAATAGCTTCTTGTGTCTTTGTTTCTAGCAGACTTGTTGGAAGAATACAATACTTACATACAATCATACTAGTACCTGCTTTGTCGCAATAGACTATTAGTAATGTCTTCTGGTATTTACCTCCCACACTATTAATGTCGATTTCCTTTTATATAATTTTTTCATATAAATACCTTAATATTAGAGATTTTTTAAAAAAAAGTACCCCTAGTTTATTAAAATATACGTTGGTATCAATATAAGCATGAACCATTTTATTTATAATTCTAACTTGCAATTTTTGCTAATATCTTCATCACGTACCACAGATTACGATTTATTAACGTATTTGTTTGTTTCTTTAGTAATAATGACAATAATAAGAACAATAACAGAATTCGTTAAAATAAAATCGCTGTGAAAAACTCTACCTATTTTATTACTTCGGTTAAATCTTTTCGTTTTTTCATTGCAAACTTTTTGTACATGCCAGTAAACGTGCATTGTTATAGGTTAAGTACAGAGCTTTCGCAAATGTGTACAAGCCACGTGACCAGTAATTTTGTTTGGAACAATAACTTTCAATTGGCAATTAAATTTCGATAAAATTAAAACAGTAAGTTCAAGACTATATTCAATCTGTTTCACCGGCTGTTATTGGTGTAATGTTTCACGAGATTCCATTCAACCAATCAGCGACCGCATTATCTCGAGCGTAGATGTAACGGTTTATCGTTGTTAATTGTAAACGAATCATTAATATTGTTGATGCCAAGATTTAAGGAAATTTTCATTACCTGTACCAGCTCTACAGTGTTGGTTGCCTAAGCTCGGTGGGCACATGGCTTGTAAACATTTATGAAGGTCCTGTATCACAGAAGATCAAATTCTAGTGACATGTAGATAAAAATTTTTAAGTAATTTTCGAAATATCGTTTTTATTTCTTTTTTTGCATGATGGTATTTGTTCGGATCCTTTTTACATGCCATAGTTTCTTTAGGTAAATTGTTTACCACCCTGTATAATAGAAAAAAATAACTAAAGTATTTTGAGCACTTGGAAGAGGAATTGGTACATTACACATATAAAAAATCAGGTTTTTAGTGAACATTGTTAAGAGAGAAAAAATAAGACCTTTGAAAATAAAAGTAGACGGATTGTCAGAAAGCATTATGTTGTCAGCGATATTTTACTCCAGAAACTGTAAAGTAAATCTTCGATTTATATTAAAAAAAAATCTTTTAGTCTCAGGCAATTGAAAAGTAGATTTATACTCTGAACATTTCACGTAGAAACAATTTGAAATTAATAAAATGTAGTCCAAATAATGTCAGTTTCTTTAATCTATTTAGATTAACTTTCAAATTGCTTCTAAGTAAATACTCAATAATTGACACATATAGATTGATTACTAATATAGAGAGAATAGAGAAATTTAAAGTATCAGTACCGTATTCAGAGTACAATAGCAACGTTGTTCGGGTAATTTCTATTCTAATTAAAAAATAATAATAATAAATTTTTACGATCCTTTACAGATTGAATGTAATCATCAATATTAGATGATAGTTTTTGATCATTGTGAATATTACTCATTAACCCTTGAAAATATAGACTTCAAACATGGCGCCATGCAATAATAGTTATATTTGAATCAAAACTAATAAATTAGCTTAGAATCGAAAGAGATTTGAGGGTTTCAACTGTATAAAAAAATATTCGATGTTGAAACAAATACGACCCACTGAATAGCAATCTGCCGCCCCTTCTCCTGTACAAGCCTCCGACTTCTGGGCTAATCATTGCGATTAGAATGATGGGTAAATGTATTATTAATTTATTATTATCTGAATAATTAGAAGATAGAATCATTATACCCATTTTCACTCACGTTTCGCTGCTAACAATGTTCCTAATATTGATACGGTTCTAAACTTTTACGGTGTTTTGATTGGAAAAGCTCTATCCAAACTTGTAAAAGAAAGATTTGTTTAACAGTTGAAACCACTTAAACCTCTACTGCTTTTGATGTTGGTTGTTTTCATATAAATTTTAGAAGTGTATAGCTATTGTGAAGCAACTGCATTGCACCAAGCCTGAAGTCTTTGTCTTCCAGAAAATTTATTTTTCTTAAATTTTCAGAAAAGCACGGATGCTGAGAACAATTCAGTCAACAACGAGAGTAACTGCCCTTCTCCATTTCCATCTCCAGTCAGCGTCGCAGCTCCCGTCGACATCAAAAACATCGAATTCACGGCTCCAGAAAAAATCAAACAAATTAAAACCGCAACAGAACAATCAAAAGTCGAGGAACTGAAAAACCTAAGGGTTACCCCTGAAAAATCCAATCAAAAATCAGCTACGACAATAGAACCGTCAAATTCAGCTAAAACCATATCGATGCCAAAATGTCAGTCACCTGCAACGGCGGAATCTCTATCGCCATCGAATCAGCCTTTTCAATTAGAATTAAAAAATGAAGAAATTGTACCGCGAATTAGTCCATTGAAGTCGGAAAAAGAACCAATTCAATCACCAGAATGTTTACTGAAGACGAAACTCGAGTCAGAATTGGACAAAGAAGAACGCGTTACACCGCAATCGGTCGCTGAAGTTCCGCTTGTTGCTGAGGCACAGCCGTCCAGCTCGGAAGGTGTATCTGAAGATAAAAATATAGAGCCAGAAAAAGTTATTCCTCCACGAGAAGAATCTTTAGAGCCCAGTGAGGATGAAGAAGATGAAGACATCAGGGAAATGGAAGGAAGAACAGTGTCAGCAGGAGGACAGCAGGTATTGTGAATCATTATTGTTAATTAAAGACGCTCATGGATGCTCACCGAGTATGAATCATACAGTGTGAACGATGATGAAATGAACATGTAAATAGTAGTTGTTGCAAGTGATTGTCTAGGATCAACGGTAAATACAAGAAAAATGCAAACATTACGTTCACTGCAATGATTCTATGATTATACTAAACATTGTTTTACATTTTCAATAATTAATGTTTCTGTTGTGTGACTACAGTTTCTTTTTAAGAGAATCGCTAATGTAGATAATGAATTTTAAGCGGAACGATGATTGTCAAAATTTTAAAATTTTAAGGAGTAACTAGCCACTTGGAATCACAATACAGAAGAATATTAAAAAAGTTTTAGGAGATGGGAATATTGAACTTTAGCTGATTTTGTGTTTTGTCAAATATATTTATTTAATAATATAGTCACACAAAAATATCGCCATCCATATCATGCCACCCTATGTATTTCGACCCCTAGACAACTAATCTACCATGAGAAGTGTTCCATTACCCTCCACTTCCTTCTAAATCAGCCAAAACTCAGTTCAGTAGGTTTATCCTTGGGTACAGCCCTAGAAACGATTCGACACATCTTATTCATAGGGCTAAATCTATATTTTGGATAACCAAAGATTCAATCAATCCTTACGGCTCCTTAGGACTGCAAAAATAACAGAAAACCAATCTTAAAATCTAAACATCGGTTGAAGTTCCAGATTTGGTTAATGGCTGCTTAAGGAAAGTATTGAAACGAGTTGACACATCATAGTCGTGAGGCTAATTGCATTTTGGGATATTCAAAGGCTTGATCAACCTTCATCACCTTTCAATTTCAGGTAACACACCAGAACACCACCCCTAAAACCTAAAAATCAATTAAAATTCTACATTTGGTGGAGTCAAGTTACAAACCCGAACCACAAATCTATTTCATGGAGATCCACTCGTTCTACACAGCAGATAAATGAGTTCTGTGGGCTTATTTAATTACTCACAGACACAATATGACCTACTCACCTAATACCGCAGACATATCCTGAAGATACGACGACAAAATCAATCCTGTATGTCTGCAACTCGTTACGGATATCAGAAAGCTCCTATTCTTCACAGCTCCAAAACCTGTTACAGCTTTACATTTAGCGGGTTTTTCTCTGGATGAGGACCTGCAATGGAGTTTATCTGCTACCGCGGTATACAGTAGAAGAAATCGGCTCGATTATAATAAAACTACACCAAAAGGCTGCAGCAAGTCAATACGGTGATTTTTAATTATCTTTTTCCGAGAGCTACTGTTGGATGTTCAACAGATATACGTATAAAAGGAGAAAAATAAAGTATAAAAGGAGAAAAATAAATTCTTTATCTAAAGGAAAAGGAAAAAGACTAACTAAAAACCTCTGTATTGATATACTGCAGCATTTAAAAGCTTTAGCTTTATAACGATTTCCTCAACTAATTCACAACTGTCTTCAAATATTTCAAATATACCAAGATTAAAGATTTGTATCAAATTGTGAGGCTTCGTAGAGTAAATGATTTCTAATTTCCATCAAGAAGTGCAGGGTTAAAAGACTGATTTTATCTTCGGAATGAAAATTATTAGTTTGAGTTGAGTTGATTGAAGTGGACTTGAATCCAACGAATGTACAGTTTTAGCTGATATTTACGCTTTAGGGTTGGTTTTCTGGTGTTCACCTCAAGCTGAACAGTTGCAAGAATTGATTGAGTTTTTGAATGCTCATAAGTCCCACAAATATGATGTATCGATTTTCCTCTTACAGAGCTGTGCCCAATGAAAATTCTACTGATTAAGTTTTGGTTGTTTTTTAGGTTTTTAAGGGACAATTTAAAAAAAGTAAATACAAAAACTGGCGGGTGATAGTGACGAACGTCAATTCAGTTTCTGGAGGTCAAAATACGAATATGAAGACTTGTATGGGTCTTTTCTGGAAACGGACCAATTTTTTGCTTGTGCTTTTATTTTATTTTCCCTCTCCAACAAAACTTCAAGGTGCAGTTGTTTCGGAATCAATCAATAACGAATGTTTTAATCTATTTTTATTTTTCTATTTAAATAACTTATTCAAATCAAATTCAATTAGTCTCTCATTTGGCACACCCACTATAGTAGGATCGTATACGATGCAAAGTAGAGCAAAAATCATTTTTAGGAGGCGTAAAATAAATCATTTCAAATTTAAATTGAAATTCAATGTAAAATCTGAAATACCGCTGCATACGCACTGTGTTCTGGTAGTAACTGTAGTCGCCCAGGTGCATCGAGTGTACGGACTGGTCGGTTATACGTGAAATACTAACCTGGCGAGCTTTGCCGTCAATTAGAGAGCGCTTCCAAAAAACAAGTAAACAACAGTGGCGCGTACAGAGGTAAAATGTAGTACATATGTGGAATTTAGGAAACAAATTGGATTTATAATAAATTACATTTAAAATAAATAGTTTATGAGAATAAAGGAATTTTTGCTGATCCCCTCGTCCCTTCATAATGTATAAAGAAATTATTCAATTTGTGAAATTCTTAAAGGCGTACTTCATTGGTTCCCTTGACAGGCAATGATTTATTACTTTGCATCGAATATGATCGTACTATAAGTAGATGAAGCTCTATTGGACCAGCCAGAGAAAAGTTTCATTATGCGCCGCTAGAGGGCACTTACCTAGAACCCAAAATTGTTTTGTTCATAAACAATATCAGAAAAAATTATGTACTCTCTTATTCAAGCCGATAAATATACCCGTTTAGCAGGGAATCGCTATTAAAATGCTATAAAACGTCTAATTTTTTATAATTCCTTCTGCAATTAAGAACAAAACAAATTTTCAGATCTAGCTAAAGTGCCCTCTAGCGGGCATAATGAAACTTATCTCTGACTGGTCCATCTACTTAGAGACTAATCGAACTTGAATTAAATAAGTTATTTAAATAGAAAAATAAAAAATTTAACTTTGACAAGCCGCAACTTGCAAACAATTGACAATTCGTTACATACTGCTATTATTTTAATCCGCAAAATCACCTCCCGGAGTTTCCTAACGGACTTTCAGAACACTCTGTATAGAGAATATATAATTTTGATTACAGTTTCACTCACGAAACTTAGTTTCACCAAAGATAGTAAAACCTAAGTAGTTGGATTTAAAATAAATTATGTATACTTAACAAATTGAGTTCATCATAAATTATATTGAAGTTTGCTTTGAAATAGATTTAAATATCCTTTATTTCGTGATGTATTAAAGACATATTTAAGGAACTGAAAGTTCTAGCCTGATCAAATGTAAGCTCCATAAGCCCTCCTTTGCATCGTGCTAATACTTTCAATGTTAAGGATTTGAACGGACGAACTAAATGAAATGAGCCCTATTTAGCGACGGCAAACGCTTATCTCAAATCTAAGATCAAGGTACTTTGAGGGAAATTGAGGTTTACCATCTAACCAGTATTGTCCTCTGATAAAAAAAGGAACGACTATAAAATAAAAGGTTTAAAATAGGAAAATATTGTTTATTTTATTATATGTATAAAGGCTTTGTTAGAAACAATGTTAACGTTTTAATATCTAAATAGTTACTATTTAAAATGATACTCCTAAACTTGAAATTAGTTACTCCTTTTAACTTAAATAAAATCTTTTTTGAATTGCATACACTGCATTAAGAAACTAACACCAACTTTTGTTAACTCCAGTAATAGAGATTCGATCTCTATGTGGCGTAGGTATTATTTTTATGTTTGGCAGTTTCTGTTTTCATGACATTAAACTGTTGATGTCTTTCTAACTTGCTCATCAACATTTTCATTGTCACGTTACACCCATGATAAAATAAACTTTTGACGATTTACCAGTCCTTAATTTTAGGTTCATTCAGATAAAATGGTCGATCGTCTGCCAATTATTGAATATGCCGTTAAGTGACAGTTTTGCATATTTAATTTTTATGATTCTAGTATTTTCTGATTCTAATTCTAATAAAGAAAAATAGTAGTTGTCAACTTCATCAAGAAATAATGTGAAAATAAAACCGTATTTATGTAGTAACCATTTTTAATAGTGAGTAATTAGTTATCAATTTCAAAATACAAAGGTTTAGGTTTGTAATATTTCTATATTTTTTTTAATTCTAGATCGACCGAGCCAGTGCTGCAAACGTAAAACGAAGCAAAGATGAAATTCAGGCTGACCCAGAAGAGGAAGACGAATTTGGATATACAATGAGTGAGTAAATATTTATTAAAAATTATTTTATCATATACCTAATTCACATAAGACTAGCCTATTCTTACAAATACTGGAAAAAGGATAATACGTGTTTTTTATTACTGGTAGATTTCAGCAAAATAGTCTATGAAGTAAAGACAATTTGTGAGGTCTTATTTAGACTTTGTATTTGAATAAAAAGCTTTGTAGAAAAAATAATAGAATGAAATTACGATATCCGTAACATTAAAAAACTCCATGCTAAATGTTTAAAACTGCCTCATTGCAAAATAATTACAATATTTTAAAAGCAGCATTTCTATGCAACTGAACATGAATACCAATAAATTAATTATCTTCAAAGAGCTATTCTGGTGCTTTTGAAATATAAGGTCTACCACTTATTTATTAATCTATGTGCCTCATTTCAAATTTAATAATTGCCACAAAAGGAAGTTGTAGTTAATGTCTCCAATTATATTCCTTCTATTCCAATAACACGGAATTGGCTGCAGAATCGAAATTTAATATCTCGGAAATACTTTTTGTTTTAAAAATAATTGATAGAGTTAAACGATTCCATAAAATAAAATGCTTGTCCACGACACTACGGCTTTCGTTCGGTTTATTAGTAAAGGACTCCACACGCACCTTATGGAAAGTGGTATTTCGGTGAAAATGCTCATCTGGAGGCAGTAAGGCCCAAAAAAGGGTCCAAAACTGTGAAAAATTGATTCACTCTCAAATATAATTTTTTTGTTATATAATGTAGAAAATATAACATTTTATAACTAACATATAACGTATAATGTAGCTTGTTTATCAATAATTACCATATATTTGATAGAAATCTGTGAAATGCTCTCACAAATAAAGAATAACGACCATTACCGCTGACATTAGAGTATCCCCTAGATTCTGATAGTCGTTTTGCCCCCATAGAGCTTACCTCAAGAACAACAAAGTCAGGCTTCTTTAAATATAAGGATGTTATCTTTTTTTTATTCATTCGTGACATAAAATCCATCATTATAGCTTGACAAACATTTTAATGATATGTGTAGAAGTCGGTACTATCGTAAGGAAAATATTGAAATTTATGAATGTCATCAATTCTGTTTTAAAAAATGGATCGATCCTAGTTCCCAACTAACATTATTCCATGTCAGTATTATATGCATAGTTAATAAAACCAAATATCATTGTTGCCAGCATATATATTTCCCTATTGAGTGAGTTTTGAATCAATATACATATTCCTCTTTTCAATGCTGTGTAATCTGTGTATTTGTAATCCGGATAGAAATTTCATTTGAAATTACATCGGGGCAGTTCGCTAACAACGGATTTATTATATTTTATGAAACAATTTGCTGGGAATACACCGAAGAGAAAGATAAATATAGTTTGAAATTCATTAATATATTGTATATTCAAGGGAATGAAAATATTGAAAGTATGAGTTGTACTTCTACAGGGTTTCAAATTGGAGTTCTCTTTTGAGCACGGCATGGAACTAAAAAAAGTACATGGAAAAGTACTCATAAAAATATAGTCATCGCGTTGTAGTATAAAGGAGACAGGAACAAATTATGAGGAAATTCGATATTTACACTAATTATTTTTACATTTGTGAAATTATTACCAACAAATTGTAAAACAAATTGTGCGACATAATTAGTATCTGTAAGTAATTGTGCAACTACTTGTATCTGAATTTTCATAACAAATAAAAAACTAATATTTTAAGTTAGATAAGTCTGAGCCCATCTAAAGATGTTTGAGGTTAACACCACTGTTTCTATTCACACATGCTACCGCTCGGGGTATCTACGACTCAGGGTATATTGTTAAAAGCGAGCCTTTCCCCAAATAACTTCAGCAATGATTTAAATGCATTTGCTTAATGCTTCTAAACAAAAAGTTAAGAGTCCGTGCGTAGAACCTTGAGGCATGCCAGATATTTGATGAAACTTGTGGGACTTACCATGATATTGAACAAACTGATACCTATTTTGCAAATATTATTGAAAAAGTTGCAATAGTGAGCCAGACACACCAAACCTATCCAGTTTCTACAACAAAATGTCGTTGTCGAGTCTGTCAAAAGCCTTAGTGAAGTCGATATAGATAACATCGACTTGTTTCATCTTATTTCCCATTTTTTTTTCATTTTTATTAGAATCATGAACGTTTTTTGATGAAGAAAATATGAATTATTGCTAAAAAAACATTTTTAACTGAAATAAATGAATAAAAAGTGAAAAATTACTTATTACACTAATATTCAGCAAAACGACAAATTTAAACGCTAGGGAAAAAACGCAGTGTTTTGATATTATCAGGATTTCTTTAGGACACTTTGAGGTTGAAATGTTACAGTCTATATCCTTAGATTATTCATCATTTGCAAAGTTATGCCGTTACTCAAATATGCCTAATTATGCAATTTTTTACCTTTTTTCTAATCAATATTTTCACTTTGAAAAAATGTTATTTATCAAAAACCCATAGTTACGGCTTGTGTAGAGAATACTTTGTAGTTTTCCGGAACCACTCAAATTGAAGAGAATTAAATTAACTAAAAGAGCATTATGATGAAATTACCAAAAAATTTTTTAAAGTCCATAGGCTTTTTTAAAAAAGCAAAAATTAAAAGAATTTTTTTCGTTGATTTTCTTACGATTACTCAAAAACTGCTGACTCTAAACAATTTTAAACTACAGATCTGAAAACTAGACACTTGAAGCTTCGATTTCCTTTTTTTATTCTCTCTACGACCATTTCCCTCCAAGTTACAGCTCTTTGAAAATCACCCTAAATTTTTGAATTTTTTTAATATCCCTTAATTTCTCTGCCTATTGTACATAAAATTAAATAATCTATCTATATAAATAAAAATTAAATGCTGTTCGTTGGTAAGCTCATCACGTGAGAACAACTAAACTAATTTGGTTATTTTTTCAAGTTCATCGTAGTCTGAATAAATTTTTAAGGAAAGAAAAATTTGAAAAAATTGATCGGGAAATTGGAAATTCAGGAAAAACTGAAAATGCTTATTTCTGTGAGATTTTTGTATGAACTCAAGACCATAATTCACGATTCGAACGATGGATATGCGTAATTCTTTTTTTATTTTGTTCGTTATTGTCCAGGAAAAGTTTTCATGAAAAAAATGTTTGGGACAATTACAAACGAAAGTCGCAAAATTCACTTTGTTTACACATTTCCAATAGCTTTTCACAAATTCACAAAACGATCACAAACAAATTTATTGAAAGAACCCCGCAGGTTCCTTATGGAAAATGGCTTTCAGCCGATAGTTTTGAAACCTTGGATTTGAATAGTTCTCGAAGCGTAGATACAAAGTTATCATAGGCACTAAGCTGAGAAAATAATATTTTCCGAGATATAGTCAATGAAAGCTAGGAGTTATAGCACCGCGAGGTATAAATTAAAGAAGACTCTTAGCTTGTAAGGTGAAATGAAAAGAAGCCGTGCAATCTGTCCCAAACACATGTTTCTTACGTTGTTATCGGGGTCACTCAATCCGAATCTGCCATCCATTCGGCTGTGCGGATGAGTTTCAAGGTCACATCAAGATCAAAACAAAGGTCATTGTAAGATCATTGTAAATGTAATCTGTCCCAAATATATGCTAACATACTATAATAATATTATAGTCTGTTTAGAAATGAAAGAGAGTAATAAAAGCTTATTATGTACGCAAATCGTAAATAAATGTAGTACTGGTGCTTATATTCAATATTTTTATATTATGTATTATCCGTATAGATGAGGTCTACTTTTAAAAAAACTTTGTGTGACCGGGTTGTACTAAATTGTAGCAGGTAGCTAAAATTTAATCCCCGACAATCCGTCTTTGTCTATGCCGCTTCAATTTCTCGGTCCATTTCTCTTATAAGTAAACAATATAAAAACAGCATTTCAAAACATGAGGCTACTTTAAGCATCATAACCGGGTTAAGAGGGTTTTTAGTAATTCAAATAAAATTATTCAATATTATTATCAAAATATTTATTTAAATTTAATGAATAGACTTTTATTCCACACAAAAATATATGTATTTTGAAAATTCAAATTATGGTGAGTAAATGTAGTGTTGTATAAATGTACAATAAAGAAAATAAAAAAGTAGGTATATTAAAATTCATCCTCTGAATATTCTGATGAATTATCTTCGTCTCCTAGATTGATAACGATAGGTTCCACAGTAACGTCAATTAAATTATCGAGTTCCCACATTTTCTCCTCTTCTTTTTGTACATGATGTATACATCTTTGCCAGTTATCTGCAGTTACTCGTTCCAAGGAATTTTTTAACAAAATTTTCACGTCACTTAATTTAAACGTCGTATTATTTCGCGCTACATCTCCTTTTACCTGCGCCCAGACTAATTCGATTGGGTTAAGTTCACAGTGATAAGGTGGTAACCGTAGTACCGTTATTTGGCGATTTGTTGCCATTTCATCGATAACATATTTTTTCTGATCTTTATTAAGATTGACAAGTGTCAAAAGTTCCTTTTTCACCATATTTGTTTCAAAAGAAATGTTTTTTCCGGATAACCATTGAATTATATCGGCTTTCCTCCAAGCAGTCGTAGGCGTCCGCTCGGTCTGCCGTGAATGGTAACTGGCATTATCCATGACAATTACAGACCCCGGAGGAATAAGATCCAACATCTGTGTAAAATACTCTTCGAAAACATCTGCGTTCATGTCTTCGTGATAGTCACCTGTATTTTTAGATTCAAATAAAAGTAAACCGCCATCTACAAAACCACTGGCACTACCTATATGTGTCACTATTAATCTTCGCCCTTTACCTGAAGGTGCCTTGAACCCTGTTGAAAGTCCATCCAAAAATGCTTGTCGAAAACTTTTTACATTTTTATCTTGCCATACTTTTGTTACAGTATATCCCTCGTTGACCCAAGTTTCGTCTAGATAATAAATATTCCTCCCTTCGTCACGGAATTTTCTAATTGATCTTAAGTAGGA